ATCTATGGGCTCTGATCTGGCCATAGTTAAGAACTGATGTTAGCCACTTGGGTTCTGAAAATGTATCACTACTGCAGTCAGACATTTTGTAGTGTAGTGAGTTTCTGAAAGCCTGCCTCTGCTATTTTTTCAGTGTACTTCATAGCTAGTTAGCATCTTTCTGCTTACAGCCGAGAACTGACAAAATATATGGCGACAATGAACCAGTTGGTTCTTTGGGGATACACCCACACTTGGCTGAATCATTTCACATGAATGTGTGCGACTATATTTGTGTTTGGGAGGAAATGAAGCCATCAAATGTAATTTACAGATCTCCCTAACCTCCTCTTAAAGAAATGGAGCGCATCTGCTTATGTGCAAAATCAAGACACTGTTGCCAATATTTATTGATGTTTTATTTTTTTTAAAGGAATTGGCTAAATAAATGAGGCATCTGGGGAATGCAGCTGCCAGAAGGGTTGTGTATAAGTACAGGGTTTCTAAATGGCTGCATCATATATTTTACAAACATGAGGGGATCATTCTGAAGAATTCCTCCAAAGTCAGCAAAAAAAATTCATAACTCCAGTGTGAGGGTTTTTTTTTCCCCAGACAGACTTTAGCTGATTATGTGGTACACTGAAGAAGAGTGGCAGGAATTGCTTCCATGTTTAACAGATGGCTCAGCTGAAGGTGAAAAGCAGTTAATGGGGGAGGGGCTACTGCAGGGGGATCATTTTCATAGCTGAGATTAAACTCCAGAGTATCTCGTCCATCCAGGGCATAGTGCTTAGTTCACAAGTGTTTCCTGCTCTTGTCAGTAATAAAATGTAACTAGCTGTAAGGGAATTTCTATAAGCCCCAGACTACCTGCTAACAGCTTCTCTGTCATTAGCTGGCTGCTTTCAACACCAGCGTATTATTTCAACAGCCGCTTCATGGGTCTTTAACTGAAGCCCTCGGAAGAGGACACGATTGCTTGTATTTTGAAGACCTACTGCTGGTCTCTTTGCCCCTGTCCTTCACATACAATCTCTCTCATGCACACATCCTCCCACGCACACATAATGCTGTCCCCCCCCATCCATCTATTTTTAAAGGATAGCACCTGTGCCTTAATTCCTTGTGTCAAAGGGAACACTCAGCAAGACATTGTCTAAAGCTGTGTCTCTCCAAAAGTAACTCGTGTTGCATTCTCATAATCACACTCTCATTCTAGTCCCGCTGCCTTGGACAGAAGGTGCATCAATCTAAATTCTCCTTCCCCACGCAAGCCATGGCCTGTGAATCTGCCAGCTCTAGACTCATCCACCTATCTAGCTAGAGCATTCACATCACTTGCACATCTGTCCATCCCATCTTCTATGCCACACTGTCAGTTAGTCTTTCTTTGCTAACATATTGTTCTGACTCTTTAAACATTAGTTTGGTGCAGCTTGGCCCAGGTGCCATTCTGAGGAGATGAAAGCTGCTTTTGCTTTATGTATACCCAAGTGCAGAATGCACACGGCTTGTGTAAATTGAGAATAGCATGCTTATCACCAGTTTTCTCAGGAAAATACATGGACATGCCAGCTTTAAAAAAAACCCTGTCATGTTTGGCTGATAGAGGTAAAATGTAACAGGTGACCTTCAGTATTCAGGGTAAGGTAATGGGGTGGTTGGAAATTTCTGGGCCAGCTACTCTGAAGAATCTGAGTGGATATACAAATGCTCAGGGCCTTCTATGTGCCCACAGCTTCGCCACTGACTCCCCCTTAAAAATAATGTGAGGCAACAGCAGACCTACTTTCTGTACATACAATTCACTTTTGTTACTTGAAACATTCTGTACAAATAAAAGAAAAGACTCTGGTTAACTATTTGGAATAAGATGAGATGATCTATATTAGTAATTTCTTAATTGACTAAGAACAAATAATTAGCCTCAACGTCCTTTGTGGGGCCATTGAAATCATGGACTCTGCACAGATTCCAATGACAGTTTTGAGGTCAGAGCAGAGCTTGCTGCCATGGTCCTACTTCCCACTTATTTATTTATTTATTTAT